TCGCGACCCTCGACCTCGACCCCGCGCGTCGCCGGCGACCGCTGACTGCGGGCTTGACGCGACGACGCGCGACGACCGGACGGCCTGGGTGGACCACCGCGCCCTTCGCGGGGCTCCGCGGGCCCCAGGAAAGCGTCCCCCCGAGTGACCCCGCCCTCGGCCTTTGACCCGGGCGGGGAGGGAAAGCGCCCGTCGGAGGCCTTCGAGACCGGAGACTCCCTGACGACACCCAGGAACGTGGCCCTCCGTGACGCCAGGCTCCCCGGGCTGCTGGGCGGACGCGCTGCCAGCGGCCACGCGGCCTGGCGTGGGCCTGGACCCTAGGGGAGGCCCGGGACGCGGCCACGCGGTGTCCTGATGGGCGTGGACCGGGCTGGACTAAAGGTGGACATCCGGAGGGAGGCCTGCGCCGGGAGCTCACCCGGGCCTGCGGGGAGGAGACCAAGCCCGGGGGTCGTGGCGTCCCCACGAGATCCCCAGAAAACGAAGTCAGGGTGGAATCTAAACATGCTGAGCAGCTGGGCGCCTGTGGCCCACGCCTGGAATCCTAGCCACTCTGGGAGGCTGAGACCTGGCAGATGGAAACTGGAAGCCAGCCCTGGCAGCAAAGTCCACGGGCCTTCATTCAATCGTAGAATGCCGCACTGGAGGAACAGTTCAAGTGGCTGAGTTTCAGGTCTACATTTCTAGTGGAATGGGTCTGATCTAATAAATAGTACATTAGGTTCCAGGCGTGCCTCCAAATCTTTGGAAAGACTGGAGGAGCTCATTTATGTAACTCGAATTTAAGGAAGCACGTGTACCAACTTAGATCATAAATCGCATTATAAAGGGTTCATGCTGTAGCTGGGAACCGAGTGAACAAATGAAGATAACTTCATCAAAGAAAATATCAACCGAAATGACAGGATCCGCAGAGAACCAACAAAATATGCAAATCAAATCTCCACAGTTTATTTCTTCTGCAAGGAAAATCTGCAGATCAGAGAGATACTTGAAAATAGTATGTTTCCTAAGCCAGTCAATCATGAGATTGCTGTACCCTTTACCTTGATTAATACCTTTCAGCTTAACCTCTGCATCAAAACCATTTGAGGTATCTTTGGGGGAGAAAATAGGGAGACTTCACCATTCCATCCACTACTAACACACTCACACACACACACATCAACATTTTAAAGAAAAAGTTATATGCCACAGCATTTAATGGAATGTAAAAGGAAAATCGAGTGTCAAAGGTGGCAGGAATCTTACAAAAGAAGGTTGGCAGAGTAGTCCATTATTGTCCTTCCTGTTGTTAATCTGAAATGACTGGATAAATTTGTTTCCTGGAATTGCCATTACAAATCTGATGATTGAAAACAACAAATTTATTCTTTTAAAACTGTTGATTCTGGGGCTGGGAAGATGGCCTCATGGTATAGTGCTTGCCTTGCATGCATGAGGCCCAGAGTTCGATTCCTCAGCACCACATAAGCAGGAAGTGGTTCTGTGGCTCAAGTGGTAGAGCACTAGGCTTGAGCTGAAGAGCTGAGGGACAGTGTCCAGGCCCAGAGTTCAGGCTCCATGACAGACAAAAAAAAAAAAAGTTGATTCTGAGGTAGGTGATGGTAGCTCACACCAATAATTCAATTCAAAAGCTAGCCCAGGCAGGAAAGTCCATGAGACTCTTATCTCCAATAAACTACAGAAAAGCCACAAGTGGAACTGTGGCTCAAGTGGTAGAGCACTAGCCTTGAAAACAAAAATTGCAGGGACAACACACAGGCCCAAAGTCTAAGCCTGGACTGGCAAAAAAAAAAAAAAAAAAAAAAGTAGACTGGCCAGTGCCAGTGGCTCAAACTTATAATCTTAGCTCCTTAGGAGTCTGAGATCTAAGAATCACAGTTTGAAGCCAGCCTGGGCAGAAGTGTCTTAAGATTCTTATTTTGAATTAACTACCAAAAAGCCAGAAGTGGAGTTATGGCTCAAGTGGTAGAGTGCTACCATTTGAAGCTCAGGGACAGTGCCCAGGCCCTGAGTTCAAGTCTCAGGACTGGAGCACACACACACAAATCATAGACTCTGGAAGTGCAAAAAAATCAATGTATCTGATCTAAAATGAAGGTGTTAAAAAAGCAATTCTCCCTGTAATGGTTTTGAGCGATTACGTCTGTCTTCTAGTTTCTGGTTGCTACCAACGTCTTCAAATCTCTCTTCATATCATCTTCATTAGTAGTCATATTCTGGGTTTTGCTTCAAATCTCCATCTTCCAAATTGCAGCCCCCTGAATATGGTGGAATTACAAGTCTCCAGCACCCAGCCCTATCGTTTTCATCTGTGTATTTTGCTTGAATATGTTTCCATTTTTCAACTTGGACAGCAGCTTAGAGTAAATAATTATACATTTTATCTATTTTAATTTTTTAAAAAAGCATATTTTAAATATCGAAAAAAGAACTAGCCAGGCACTGGTGGATCACACCTGTAATCCTAACTACTCAGGAGGCTGAGATCTGAGGATCTTGATTCAAAGCCAGCCCAGGCATGAAACTGTGAGACGCTTTAACCACCAAAAAGCTAAAGTGGAGCTGTGACTCAACAATAAAGTGCCAACCTTGAGCAAAACAGCTCAGAAAGAGCAGCTAGCCCTATGTTCAAGCCTCAGGACCAGCATACACACACACACACACACACACAGGAAATGCAATGTAATTTAAGTGATTATTATCTTTGTGGAAAGCTAAATATTACTCTGAAATAGTGACCTGTGTTGCTGAGTGATGAAGGGAAGAATTTTCATTGCCCTTTTCATCACACTTCCTAGGCTGTATCTATGTTATAGGATGAAAGTACAAAATGTACTTTGTCAAAATCTAAAACATGAGTGAAACAGCATACTACACAAATCACCTAGCACAACTCTGGTTAGTTTTGTGCCTGACCGTGGAACATGATTGGCACCAGAACATCCTGGCACCAAGAACACTTGCCAATATGTAGTAAACACTATACATAGATACTTTTTTGTGAGGGGGAAAAGTATCTTCTCCCTAGCTCTCTTGAAGTATATGAATTAAAGTATGTTGTAGATCAGACATTGTGGGGGGTTTTGTTTGTTTTGTTGCTTGTAAGGCTTGAACTCGGGCGGGCAATGTCCTTGAGTTCTTTAGCTCAAGGCTAGAGCTCTACCACTTTGAGTCACAGCTTCACTTCCTGTTTTTGAGTTGTTAATTGGAGATAAGAGTCTCATGGGAATTTTTCTGCCCAGGCTGGCTTTGAACCATGATCCTCAGATCTCAACCTCATGAGTAGCCAGAATTACAGGTGTGAGCCACTCATATTCAGTCATTGTGAATTTTTAAAACAGTGTACAATTATAATTGGCATCGCAGCAGTGTCTATAACATTGCTCCTAAAGAGATTAAAGATGTCACAACCAAGATTAAATAATCTACAACACACTGCCAAAAGCTCCCCAAATGATGATAGCTTATTCTCTGAGGGGATCTGCTCTCAATATTTGCTTGGATTATCGCATTTATCCTCTTAACAACTCTGTGCAATAGGCACTTTTGTGTACAGGCGAAGAAACTTAAGGCCAGGATAGGTAGAAGAACTTGCCTTGGTAAGTGATAGGACCCAGTTTGAGCTTAGACAGTAGTTCAGCTTCCTCATATTGGTGTCAGTTACCTGGATACACACAAGATACGCATTGGAAAGTATTTAAATATCTTCATAAAGAGGCCATTCTAAATACTAGCACCATCAAGCAGGAACATTTATTAAAAGGTCATAGGTGCCCAGCACTGGTGGTTCACGCCTGTAATCCTAGCTACACAGGAGGCTTAGATCTGAAGATTGAAGTTTGAAGCCAGTTGGGGCAGGAAAGTCTGTGAGACTCTTATCTCCAAAGAACCAGCAAAAGAGGTCATTAGGTATGGCCTTCGGCTAAGGGCTCAGTGTCGTCAGGACAGCCTCAAAATGAACTAACCTTTGGTTCGGATAACATACTGCTTACCTTTAAAAAATAGAAAAAAGTTCCTTTACCAAGGTTTGATCTCTTGTTTGGCTTTTTTGTTCAAAGCTGATACCATATTACTTGAACCACAGTAATTTCCAGTGTCTCTCTTAGGTTTGGTCACCTCATCCCTTCCTGCCACCACCCTCTGTGCCATGTCATTTACCAAAAGCAAGCATTGACATCCAAACCATCACCAAAAGACATGTAATTTATATTCTGGTCTCTGATCAGAGAGGAATAGATGAATGAGAAAGACAGAAATCCTGGGGTAAAAGTTGTCCTATTTGTGTAACAGACCCTTTTGGCTGCCCCTTTGATGAAAAACTTAACATTGGAATGATAGATGGTTTTTAGTGATGAAATTAAATGGAGGGAAAAGCAAAGCTATCACCTGTACTTAGCCACCAGTCCGCATTGATACTATGTCATCTTTTCACCATTGCAGCTGCAGTAACAGCTGCTATTTACAATTGAATACACTGGAGCTGAAATTCCGTGTGGGGAAACTCAGTTGATCATAACCAGAAGCATTAAAGAACTTTTAAGATATCCAGTCCATAATGAGCCAGGCACCTGTGGCTCAAGTCTGTAATCCTAGCCATTCAGAAAGCTGAAATCTAAGAATCACAGTGTGAAGCCAGTCAAGGCAGGAAAGTCCATGAGACTCATCTCCAATGAACCACAAAAAGCCAGAAGTGGAGCTGTGGCTCAAATGGCACACCACCAGCCTTGAGCACAAAAGATCAGGAACAGCACCCAGGCCCAGAGTTCAAGCACCAGGACCAGAAAAAAAAAGTCCATGATGTGCCTACTATTTGCCCTGTTGTCTACCGTGAAGATGCTTGTGGACACTGCTGATCTCTGAGAATGATGGGTCCAGAGAGGAGACTGGGTGTATAAACAGCCTAGAGGGCAGCGGGAGGCTGGAAAGGCACCGGCAGCATTTCAGATATGCTCTGGAAAGATTGGCACCTCCCCACTTCTTTTTTTTTTTTTAGGTACTTTTAAAAAGAAGAAAAGACTCAATTCCACAACGCTCAAAAATTTCCAACCAATTCGAATCCAGGGCCCCAAAGATAACTTCCCTCCATCCTACAAGAAAATCTTGAGCGCTGATTCTACATTCTTCCACTGCAATTCCTATGCCACATGTAATGTTTTTAGAAACAAACATGTTAAGTCAAAAGCAGTTCCAGCCTTTCCCACCCACGTGGGCCCAAGCAGCAGAGTTTGCTCCTGTCGCGGACACCCCAGTAATGAGCTCAAAGATGGATGCGATTTGCTACAGGGAACAGAAAGGGAAGTTTCTGTCTTCCTGGAAGGCAGAATTAATTCTCTAATACACCACCATGAGAGCATGAATAAAACATACAGGTTGGAACAAAGTCATAAAGTTGAAAACATTTTTTTCCACAGGGGAAAAAAAAAAGCAGTGTGAAGAGGAATGGAAGATAAATCATGTGCTGAAATCCACAGGCTGCAGGGCAGTGGTGACACCACAGCTCCAAGCAAGCAGCTTTTCTGGGGGCCTGGAGGGGGAGACCCACCCTACCGACATAAACATGTCACATGGGGCCCTGCTTCTGCAATGACATGGAACCTTGTGACTGCTTTCTTCACCTTTCCTTTTGTCTAGAATTCTCTCACCACACCCTCAGTTCTGCATCCACGTTTTGCCTCTTCCAAAGCCAGCCTTGCGATGCCTCACTTCTGCTAAGGGCTGCCACCGTATTCTCTCTCAGTTCTGCAGGGGCAGGCAAGCTTACTTACTGCTCAGGCCTGAAAATGCCTCTTTCAAGCTTTGGGAGTTGGCCTTGTAAACACATTGCTTCCACCACTTTGTTCTTCCTGTGGCTGGCTTATACCAGCCACTAGATTTAAGGCCTACACTCTACCAGAAAGACATAACTACCTGTGCTGACAAATAGAGTCACAGTCTAAGGTCCTAGAAGGGGCATGAATTTGGGGGAGATACTACCCCAGTACTGAAGTACAGTGCACGGGAATAATTTCTTCTTAATAGCCATCCCATGAAAACTCCACCAAAACATCTCCAGGTGCTACTTCCTGCAGTCCTAAATAAATCCTAAGTCCCAGGAGAGTTCATCGCTACTAGGCACATATTTTCCTCAGTCAATGCTGTTGATTAATAAATAATGGTACAATGTTTTATGACATAAATATCTCTGGAATGGAAATATACTGGCCACAGTCAAGCAAAAACTTGGGCTATGGATGTAACTCTATTGAGGTAGGATACTTCTAGATATGTGCAAGGCTGGGTTAGATCCTCAGTGCTGGACTGAATTTCCTCCGAATTCCCTTTTCTTCTCATTTAATTCCCTCCTTCACTCCTCCCAAAGGATTGAAAATCTATTGTTTTAAGATTGTTGGGCTGTTGATAGAGATAATTCCTTATCAAAGATTTGTAAGCAGGGTTGGAAGTCCTGGAATTCAGGGCCAGCAAAACACCATCTCAGTCAACAAGCAGATAAGCAGTAGGCGAAAATAGAAGGGCTATGGTCCAGCTCAGCCCCAGGCAAAAATACAAGACCTACCAGAAAAACAAAACTGTTACAAAGGGCTGAGGGTGTGCTCGAGTGGTAAAGTGCAGGCCTGGCTAGTGTGAGACTCTGAGTTTAAACTCCAGTTCCACCAAAAAAGCAGGGGACTGTTGAGTTTTATTACATCTTTTCCCCAGTTATTTTTTTAATGCTGAACATTGTTTATGCAAAATAGCCTTCTTTTACAAGATGTCCAAGGAGTGTGCTTAGCAGATCCAAAGACACAGACAGACCAGAGCTCTAAGCAATGAGAAAAGCCAGCTTCACTTCCTGTGCTGTGGTCACCTAGCCTGAAAATATCTACCTGCCCAGTCTCCATCTGGACTGGAGAGGGACTTGGCCCCATCCAGGGGTATTTCATGATGCAGTGCATAACAACAGCCCTGTAAAAAGATCACTATTAATAATGCTCTGGTTTTGTGTTCTGTTCCAAGAGAAAATGTCAAAAAACAATTGCCAGCAAAATTGATGCTTCATTATCACCATGTTATAGCAGTGAGATTATGGATCTGGTTCATGAGAGACAATCAGAGAAGCAGCATATCCTGGGCCACAGTTTTCAGCATTCCTGTCTTCTGATGTGATTACAACTCTCCATAGGCCCACTTGGGGCTTGTGTTTTAATCACTTTGTGGAATCCTCAGTCAAAATACTTCAACTGCCTTTTTTTTTTTTTTGGTGCCTGTCCTAGGGCTTCAACTCAGGTCCTGGGAGTTATCCCTGAGCTTTGGTGCTCAAAGCTAGTGCTCTACCACTCTGAGCCACCACTCCACTTCTGGGCTTTTTTTTTTTTTTTTTTTTTTTGGTAGTTAACTGTAGGAAGAGTCTCATGGACTTTTGCTTGAGTTGACTTTGAGCTGTGATCTTCAGATCTCAGCATCCTAAAATAACAGGTGTGAGCCATTGGCACCCAGCTCTCAACTGCTTTTGGTAGTTGAATATGAAGAAATAGGATGATTGTGGTTACAAAAGAACAAACATAGTTTAGGAGGAAGGAAACTAATCTTTCATGTAAGAGTATAAATGGTGCTTAAATAGAAAATGGACTCCTGTATTAAAAATACTTTTTTCATCTTTGGAAATCTCCTCTTTTATTATGTATTTTTTTAAGAATGGATATGATTTTACTTATGATACCTAACATCTCTGGACTTGAATTATATCTGTAAAATTAAGGGTCTGAGTGAACGGCTACAGTCCCTGGTAAAGTATAGCATTCTGGACGTATTTTACTCCAGGACAGTTTCATAAGTCATCAATATCTGACAATATGAGGCATGAAAAATTAAAAATAGGATATCTCCAAAAAATAGGATATGTCTTAGATTATGAGATATGCTCTTAAAAATAAATTTCCTAGTGTTAGTGCATGTCTGTAATCTCAGCACTTGTGAGACTGTGGTACCCAGATCACAAGTTCAAAGGTCAGCCTGGGCTACGTTTTAAGACTTGTCTCAACAACCATTGAAGTGAAAGTCATATGCAAGTCACCATATGTAAGCAAACATAGGGGAAAAGACAAAACCAAACCAAAATAGCAGGGCTCTGTGGCTCATACTTGAAATCCCAGCTACTCAGGAGGATGAGATCTGAGGATCACAGTTCGAAGTCAGCTGGGGAAGGAAAGTCTGTAAGACTCTTATCTCCAGTTAACTACTGAAAAAAAAAGCCAGAAGTGGAGTTGTGGCATAAGTGGTAGAGCACTAGCCTTAAGCAGAAAACAAGCAAACAAACAACAACAAAAAACACACACAACTCAGGACAGCACCCAGGCCCTGCGTTCAAATCAAATACCATGTAACTTGAGGTGCTCCATTATATTCATTTGAAATGTTATCATGGAATTTGGACATTTGCAGTTAAATAAGGTTTATTTCTCCGTTCCCGCCCCACGCCCCCCAGTGAAAAGACTAAACTTACCACCAGGTACCTATAATCCTAGCTACTCAGGAGGCTGAGATCTGAAGATTATGGTTTGAAGCCAACAGAAGCAGGAAAGTCCATGAGAGTTGTATCTCCAATTAACCACCAGAAAACTGAAAGTGGAGCTGTGACTCAAAGTGGTAGAGCACTAGCCTTGAGTGAAAAAACCTAGGGAAAGTGCCTAGGCCCTGAGTTCAAGCCTCATGACTGACTAAAAACAGAAAGAAAGAAAAAGACCAGACCCTATTCCTTGGTGATATAGAGGAGTATATACAAATATACATAGGTATGTATATGTTACATAATGCATAAATGATACATAAGTATATATGTTAAAATACATGAAATATAAATGTCCTGTAAAATCTCATATGAAGTAGGCATGTATATTTATTGAATATTAAATGTAATATTTTAGCCAGGTACCAGTGGTTCACACTTGTAACCTGTAGCTACTTAGAGAGCTAAGATTTGGAGGATCATGGCTTGGATCCTGGCCCAGAAGAAAAGTCCTGAGACTTCAACTCCAAGAAAAAACTTGGCTGGAGGTGTGGCTCAAGTGGTAGACACCAGCTTAGCAAGAAAACTGAGCAAACTTGAGGCTCAGTTAAAACTCTAGTATTGGGGGAAAAGTTTCATATTTTATCTCTATATAAAAGTCAATAGTTTTGACTGAGAAAGCAGAATTGTGTAGCTATTATAAATACATATGATATAATGTCATACATATTGAGACAAGTTACCCCAGGCTGACCACTCAGACTCTTCTGTCTCCATCTCCCAAGTGCTGGGATTGCAGGTGTGCACCACCAAGCTGGCCTTATAGCATCTCTTTTCATTCAAAAAATATTATGTATTCTTTTACTGAGTTGCAAGATTACTGAATAATAGAACAAAAATTGACTGTAAAAAAGAGGGGGGGAAGCCTCTCTAAATGTATAATGTATATTTTAACAAAGAGTTCCAGTCCTATGAACATAAATAAAATAGTAAGAAAAGCATGTATGCGACTAATCAATATTGTAACAGGGTCTGAATCCTTTCTAGCTTCACCAAAATCTTTTTCTGATAAGATTTGGAGCTAAATTTATGTAGGAGGGATCCACTGTATTAATGGATATCCACTGTGAATTCACTGTACATAATGGATACTGACTATGAATTAACTGCTTTTTTTTCTATTTAGCTGAAACAAGACTGGCTGCTACACATATACACAGTACAGCAGAGTAAAAATGAGTACAGCAAAGTGGAGGAAAATAAAAACAAAGATGAGCTCCAGAGGAGTCCCTATGTTATGATTCAAACAGCATATGTGTCACACATCAGTCATTTAAATGTCCCCACACAGGGGAAGGGAGGGAATCATACAGTATAGAGAAGAGAGAGCAATTCTGCCGGGGACTAGCATTAAAATTACATTGAGTTTTTATTAACATTCCCCAGAGAAACAGGCTCAGTGGGATATGACAGCGACAGGGGGAAAGAGATGGAAAGACAGAGAGATCTGACTTGGTATAGCAAGTTTATATGTTTGGGGAAGCTTCCCTTTCCAAACTCTGCCCAGACAGCAGGCTCCGGATCCAGGAGAGCCAATATTCCGGTTCCGGCCTACAGGGTGGCAGATGAGAGACCCTGAAGAGCTGGTGATGCAGAGGAATTCTGATGGCAGTCAATCTGCCAGAGATTCTCTTATTCCTTGTTCTACAGAAGCTCTCAGCAGAGAAGAGGCCCAGTCAGTATGGAAT